CTTGTATGCAACAATGTGACTTTTTCCACACTTGTATATCAAATGGTCCATAATAGAAGTAAACATATATCCACCCTCTTTATGACAATCGGTTTAAAGTTGATGTCATAACGAGTTTTATCTACGACTCAAATAGCTAGAATTTTGTTAATTCTAGACTGTTAGGTATAGAAGGAAAGTCGACATGTAAGTATTTATTGGCTTAGTGTAACGAGCTCACATTATCATTATATATTTTAGGGTGTAGACAGCATCTCCGACTACGCTATATCCTTCCACTACGTGAAACCACAGAAGATGTACGATCTGGAGTTTTACATCTACCACTTACGACCGTATGGCATTGTGTCCGGCACTCAGGAGCTCAACAGAATAGAGAAGGTGAAACCCGGAACTCAGGAGATCAACACATAAGTGAAGTGACACAGAGAACGGCCATTCGACTTATGTCTTGTTCGACTGGAATGCTCCATCAAGTAATTTGGTGTTGTTCGTATGTCTCCAATTGCATGAAACAATATTATACTACTAATCGTGTATAAAGTTTTTATGGTGATATAACAAATCGATATGATTACGTTAAGGCACTATGGCACTATTATACTGACATAGGGAAGCATGTTCCACATGTTACATGTGTCACGCATGGCGGAACAAAGAAATTCAACGTGTTTCCGATATTGTTTACTACGTGTCACAAAGAACGGCCCCTCTGTATTTGAGTAATCAACACTGTCTGACAGCTGTAACTTCTTCCATTGTTCTTCTATTAAACTACTTACTTGTTCACACTGTGATATCGATCTCCGCAAGACAGGTTTTAGTTATTGTTGAGCAGTTCGGGATTTCCATCCACATCACTTTAAAGAAGGATAAGAATACATGGATGAACAGCTTCCTTATAACAACAGGAATGACGTTTCGGCATAGGTTCTATATATTCTTATCTTTTCTTTGTACTTCAACTTTTAAATGCCTATCAAAGAGGTAGATGCAGTGTTTAACACGATTATAGTGAAATCAAACTCGCTCACTCATCAACATCACTGACTGAGTTTAGTTTTACGCCGCTTTTAGCAATATTCCAGCAATATCACGGCGGGGAACACCAGAAATGGGTTTCACACATTATGCCCATGTGGCGAATCGAACCCGGGTCTTCGGCGTGACGAGCCAACGCTTTAACCACTAGGCTACCCCACCGCCCCTCATCAACATGTTGAGTGATGAGTGTAGATGTAACAGTTTAAGAGAGGCTCATACAGTACCATTACAAGCACATCAACTTGTTTTTCTGGTATATCTTAGTCCTCTGTGCGAGGAGAGTAAACGAGTGAAATTATTGTCTTCATCATCGGTAAAACTGCATGCATCATGTTCATCTATATAAAGATAGTTCTCGATTCTGCCGATTGAGTTGTTTTGTCTCTGTATTTCTGTGTAACGCCATAACAAGTCAGCTGTTCACCTCAAGACAAAAACAAATAAGCATGGAACGTTTGACACACTTGAAAATACGCACTTGTCAATTATCAGTTATTCCTCTCCTCGCCCTTGGCGAGATCATTACGGTTATAGCCAGACTGTGATAAAAAATTACTTACGCTCTTTCGTACATGCATTACTGTCTCTGTTCTAATGGATAGATCATCTACCCGCACTGTGAAAGGTCGGTGCTTCGATTCCCGAGCCACGCCACACCAATCCATGTTAAAAGATGCTACTTGTTGTTACTCTGCCTGGAGTTGGTCATTCGGGGGATGAATCAGTTGTCTTTGACTGGGGTGTCCATGTTAAACTGTGGCCACACATAGGATGTCAGTGGGCATGCTATTAAAACATTTCAAACGCAGTCCCATTTCTCCTCACCTCAAACGTTGAAAATACATAGATTTATGTGTTAAAACACCCCAATATTTTCAAATATTCCATAGTGTTCCAATTGTTTTTTCAATTATACCATCATAGTGTATTGTATTGTATCACAATGAATTGTCTACAATTATTATGTTCAAAATTATTATGTACGTGTTATACTGTTCTATAGTACTTCAAAGTAATGAAGCATACAACTTTATAAAAAGAAATCGTCTTTATTGCATCGAGCGACGATTTGGTATAGATTCTTACATCGCTATCAAGCTAAAAGTGACTACAACCAAGTAGTTAGAATGATACGTGTATAGTATGTTGTGAGAAACTTCCGATTAACATTAAGAACAGTATGTAATTGAACAATAAGTGGCACATAATTGGATGAGGCCAGATGGGGAAGTAAGAACACCAAAAATAACGGGTGCTACAACAATATTAAGTACAAATTAAAACATGGGCTATATGAATATTACACACAATTTAAAACTCTTGCTATAAGCCAAAAAAAAAGCAAAAGCAAATGATTAGTTACACACACACACACGTACACACACAGACACACACACAGAGAGAGAGACACACGTACACACACAGACACACACACACACACACACACAGACACACAAACACACACGGAGCATTTCACCATGTACGTACCTTGTTACCACACATTAGTACATTTTCATGCGAACGTAGGTAAATGTATAACGTCAGTGCTAAAGAATACCCATCTTGGACTATCGTTAGAAACAAATTTCATTTGGTGTAAAGAGCAACATGACAGTGGACAATGATCATGAGCATGAGGACATTGATCCACTCGCGGTGATCTATCATACATACCTTTACCATATCGGCCAATACATTCCACTCAAACAGTTTCATTGGTTCAACGACACAACTAAATATGTACCGGGTCTCCTTCAAGGATATACAATAAGAAGAACAATAGGAGGAACACAGTGTTTCGGAGTATATCCTTACTCCTTCAAGGATATACAATAAGGTAAAATAGGAGGAACACAGTGTTTCGGAGTATATCCTTACTCCTTCAAGGATATACAATAGGAGGAACAATAGGAGGAGCACAGCGTTTCGGAATATATCCTTACTCCTTCAAGGATATACAATAAGAAGAACAATAGGAGGAACACAGCGTTTGGGAGTATATCCTTACTCCTTCAAGGATATACAATAAGAAGAACAATAGGAGGAACACAGTGTTTCGGAGTATATCCTTACTCCTTCAAGGATATACAATAGGAGGAACAATTGGAGGAACACAGTGTTTCGGAGTATATCCTTACTCCTTCAAGATATACAATAAGAAGAACAATAGGAGGAACACAGTGTTTCGGAGTATATCCTTACTCCTTCAAGGATATACAATAGGAGAACACAGAGTTTCGGAGTATATCCTTACTCCTTCAAGGATATACAAGAAGAAGAACAATAGGAGGAACACAGCGTTTCGGAGTATATCCTTACTCCTTCAAGGATATACAATAGGAGGAACAATAGGAGGAACACAGCGTTTCGGAGTATATCCTTACTCCTTCCAGGATATACAATAGGAGGAACACAGCGTTTCGGAGTATATCCTTACTCCTTCAAGGAACAACAATAGAAGAACACAGCGTTTCGGAGTATACCCTTACTCCTTCAAGGATATACAATAAGAGGAACAATAGGAGGAACACAGTGTTTCGGAGTATATCCTTACTCCTTCAAGGATATACAATAGGAGGAACACAGCGTTTCGGAGTATATCCTTACTCCTTCAAGGATATACAATAAGAGGAACAATAGGAGGAGCACAGCGTTTCAATGTATATCCTTACTCATTCAAGGATATACAATAAGAAGAACAATAGGAGGAACACAGCGTTTCGGAGTATATCCTTACTCCTTCAAGGATATACAATAGGAAGAACAATAGGAGGAACACACCGTTTCGGAGTATATCCTTACTCCTTCAAGGATATACAATAGGAGGAACAATAGGAGGAACACAGTGTTTCGGAGTATATCCTTACTTCTTCCAGGATATACAATAGGAGGAACAATAGGAGGAACACACCGTTTCGGAGTATATCCTTACTCCTTCAAGGATATACAATAGGAGGAACACAGCGTTTCGGAGTATATCCTTACTCCTTCAAGGAACAACAATAGGAGGAACACAGCGTTTCGGAGTATACCCTTACTCCTTCAAGGATATACAATAAGAGGAACAATAGGAGGAACACAGTGTTTCGGAGTATATCCTTACTCCTTCAAGGATATACAATAGGAGGAACACAGCGTTTCGGAGTATATCCTTACTCCTTCAAGAATATACAATAGGAGAAACACAGCGTTTCGGAGTATATAATTGGAAGAGGCCAGTAAGGGACTAAAAACAACAAATAGCACTAGTGATGAAGCCAATAAACAGGGGGATTAAGTAGTAACAACAAATAGACAGGGTGCTATTGATGGTCTATAGTTTGATTAGTTCTGCATAGGCTGATGGGATGTAGTATCCTTGGTAACGGTTGATCAAAGGTTTGTGGCGGCGGATTTCGATGGCTTCCAACAGTTTTCTTTTTGTAAAGTCCTGATTATTGGTTGATAGGACTTCGAATTCGTCAAACTGGATTTGATGGGTAGGGAACTTTTGCTGGTGATCTGAGAGGGCTGATTTGCTGTCTGCCTTAGCTGTAGAGGTTTTGTGTTCTTTTATGATGGGTGTCAACGGGACGGGAGGTTTCACCTATATAAGAATCACCACATTCACAGTAAATCTTGTAAATCACTCCTTTGGGGGGTTGCTTAGTGGAGGGGTGGATTACGCCCATTAGTCTGGAGAATGGTCCTGAGGGTTGGAGAGCCAGAGAAGATGCTGTCGATACCTGCTTGGTGCTTGAGAAGTCTGCTGATTTGGTGGGAGGTCTTGCCAATATAAGGAAGGGTAATCCTAATGGTGGCGGCTTCATGCTTCGTCAATTAGGGTTTGGCCTGGAGCGTGATGGAGATGGTCCTCTTGACTAGGTTGGTGGGATACTGGCTGAGGTTGGTGAAGATACGTTGTAGGTGATTAAGCTCATGCTGAAAGTCATCGCAAATCTACCTGGCGCGCCTTGTCAGGGTTGAGATGACACCAGACTTGGTTGTTTTGTTGGATTTTTTTTGGGGGTTGGTTTAGAGTTGAAATGAATGTTCTGGTCGGAATGGGTGGGTTTTCTGTTGACCGCGGTTTGGATCTTGTTGCAGGGGTCTCTGGAAATAAGGACATCTAAGAAGGGGAGTTTGTTGTCGTTCTCTGTCTCCATGGTGAACTTGATCCTGGAATGTTGGGTGTTGAGGTGCTGGAGTAGTGAGGTGGGATCTTGGTCTTTTCTGAGGACGACAAAGATGTCACCCACCTTCCTATACCAGCACACAGGTTGGATGGGAGAGGAGGCCAGGGCTTCTTCTTCAAAATGGGTCATGTAGATTTCAGTAAGAATGGGGGAAAGAGGGGACCCCATGGGACCCCTGCAACAAGATCCAAACCACGGTCTACAGAAAACCCACCCATTCCGACCAGTACATTCATTTCAGCTCTAACCACCCCCCTAAAACCAAGTTAAGTCACGTTAAAAACATATTTACAAACTTTAAGATGGACACGTCCGATGATGATAACATTTTAAACCCCCAAACTTCTGCGCCACAGAGAAGAATTCATTTAACAAGGTCATCAAACAATTTCAATTGGCAGTCTATTGGAATATCAAGTTGACGAATGCTTTTGATTGCTCTATCGAACGGACCATTACCAGTGAAAAGTACACCAAGATTCAGATATTCATTTGAAATATCAACAGATGTACCACTTAACGTAAAGTTGCATTTCGTCTTACAATATCCTTTTGAAAATATAACAACCTCTGTTTTTTCCTTTTTCTAAAGCCACACTTAATTTCCATTCTTAACAATAATGGTCAAATACATTCAAAGATTTTTGCAGTCCATCACTTGTTTCAGCTAATATGACAGTATCGTCAGCGTAAAGTACTACCGTAAAGTAATATCAACAATTTCATAAAGATACCAAGCTGGTCCTCAATAAGCCTATTTACATGTCCGAGGCCAGGTACATCATGTTCATAAAGGAAACACTCAAGATCATTTATATACAAAGCAAAGAGGAAGGAGATAGATTTTCACCCTGTCTAATCCCAATCTTACAAGGGAAGGCATTGGTTACTACATCAGGTACATGGTCCCTGCCTGGCGCTCGGCATTAATGGGTACAACAAGGACTGGTCGGCTCGGAGTCAGTATAATGTGTCTGAGTGGGGTATTCATGCTTCACTGCGGCATGGTATCTCAGTGGGTTAGCACTATAAAACCAGCTTCAGTCTGGGCTAGTACAAGCAGCTGCACATACACATACACACGCATGCACGTCGTCATATGAGCGGAATATTCTTAAGCACGACGTTAAACCCAATTTCACCTCACATCATGTACAACTCTAGATTGTATACCTCATTACATATTCTTTATGATGCAGAAATATTTTCCATCGATATTACTCTGAATTAATTTATACCAAAGGCCGCTTCAGTATAAAAAAAAGCTGTACTTGAAATCAACGAAAACACAACGAAGTCAATTAATCATTTCCGAACGTTAATTTGATCCATCGAGAAATATTTACTTCTAAAGCCGGTGTGTTACTTACTTATTAAATGAATTTTGTATGAATACTTTTGCATTCGTGCACTTAAAATGGAGTTGAAAAGCTTTCATAAACAACTCATTAAAGAAATTCCCATATAGTTACATGGTTCAGCAGGGTCTCCTTTGTTTTTATAAATTGGCTTTATGTAACCAACTAGCCAAGCTTCAGGCATTACACCATTGTTGAAAACAGAATTGAAATTTTAAAGCTTTATATAAACTGAACGCCAAAAGAAATGTTACACCTCTTCATATGTAAATATTTTCCCAACGATTTCAAGTTAGAGAACCGATTTGTGTGTGTCATACAGATTCTTCATTTCATGAGAAGAGTAACTGATGATGTTTTTGTATAAGTCACTTATGACTGTGCAAAACCCATGTGAGTCAGAGTGGTATCCATTGTTCCGTTTTCGATCAATCACAAAAAACAAAAGACACATTGAAAAAGCAAGATTTTAATTAAATACTCTCTTTGATTAGTATCTGGTATGACCCCCGTTGCCATTCTAACATGCCTGAACTCGCCGCCTCACAGAATACGTCAAACGTCGGATGAAAGCAGCTGGAATCTGCCTCCACTCAACCATCAGAGCAGCAATAATGTGTTGACGTGTATGTGGCTGCTGCTGACGTAACCGGATCCGACGATCGATGTAATCCCAGAGGTGTTCAATAGGGTTCATGTCCGGCGATCTGGCAGGCCAAGGCAAAATCTGCATGTTGTTGGCGTTGAGAAACTATAACGTCTGTCTGGCTAGAGGACGAGCATTGTCCTGTTGGAAGAGGGTGTTAGGATTCTGCTGGAGGAATGGGAGGACCTCTGGCTGTAGGAACCTGTTGATGTACCTCTGTGCGGTGAGGTTGCCGTCGATCACAACAAGGTTGGATTTCGTGTCGCCGCGTGTACCGCCCCAAACCATAACGCTGCCTCCTCCAAAGGGTATGACTTCCTGTACACAGCAGCGTGCCTCTCTTTCACCCCGGCGACGATAGACCCGTATTCTCCCGTCCGCCCTGTGCAGCTGGAACCGGCTTTCGTCAGAAGAAAGCACCCTCTGCCAATTTTGGTTCTGCCAACGTCTGACATTTCTGGCCCAAGCAACCCTGTTTTGTCGATGTTGGCGTGTCAGCTGTACTGCTTGCATCGGCCGGTGTGGCCTCAGTCCGTGTTGTTGGAGTCTTCTTCTCACTGTTTGGGGACTTATTCGGCGTCCAAGAGCTGTACTAGCAGACGCAGTGGCTGTTTGAAACCTGTTCCGTAGGTGGAGTTGACGGAGGTAGCGGTCTTCATTAGGGGTTGTAACTGGTGGCTTCCCGCGTCTGGGTCTGTGTCTAGTTGTGCCAGTATTCTGGAATCTCTGACGCAGCCTTAGAATGGTGAGGCGATGACACCCGAATGCAGCAGCCACTTCCCGATCAGTCGACCCAGTCTGCAGCATTCCAATGGCCCTCTCCCGCTCTTCTGCTGTTAATCTCGGCATTGTAGTGAATGTATGGTGTGAAATGATATATCTAGGGGCCTTATATACCCGTTTCCAACAGTTTTCACGTGCATTTCATGCAAGGTGAAGTTACAATGGGTACGTTTTGGCGTTATGCTTCTTTATACAAGGACAGAAACAGGCAAAATTTTACAGTATCTAAGGGAAAAAAATTACTCTTTTCCCGTTTGACGACTCTTCCTGAAACAGTCGAAAGTCATGATGATCCAAAAATTAAACCTCAAGTTGTTGGAATGTGTTTTAAAGAGACAAAAATCCAATTTCAGCATTGGGTCCCTTACGGTAAACAACCATTCTTTCATATCCAAAACCCAACTTTATCACTCTTTGTGAGTGTGCATGCATTATCATCATAAACAATATCTTTTGGATCCATTTTTAACTGTTTTTTTACACTTTTGATTTGAATTTTTACATGATTGAAAATAGGACAATGGACCCCACCTAAACAAACATGTCGATATCCTAATTATCAAATAATTCCTCAGTCTGATGTTTTGACTCAATAGAGTTACATGATTGGTTGTTAAAACATACCAAACCAAAGTCTTCTATCCATATAACATTTTAGGATATTCTAATGTTAAGAGGTGTAACATTTCTTCTGGCACTCAGTTTATATACAGGCATTACACGATGTATAAGTCTATGATAATGATTAGTAATTGATATCAAAACACTCCAAATACTTCCTGTAGTCAACACTAAAGGCAGCATCTCTCGTAAGAAATGCTAAAGTTTGCTCAGCACTACTAAATTGGTTGAAGTAATTGGTATATTGCGATAAAAAAAGTAAGACGCACATGTGCGTCACTCGCTGAAAAATATGTGCTTTCTTTTGGCGCACATATGCGGCTCTCGCTGTGAGGAGCTGATTAATTTGTCGCACATATGCGGTTCTCGGCCTTAAGGAGACAAGAGTCAGATTATGTATATTTGATCAACGTTTTCATCATGAGGTTCTGCATTATCTTTTCATAATGATACATACACGATGAGAGTTTGTTTACATTTCAGCAAAGAATGGGGTCATATGCATGGGCTAATTCTATGCATGCCTGGAGCAGCCTAGATCATGTCAGCCAAAAATATATTTTCAACTATAAAAACAGATCAAATCTTAAACCGTACATATTAAGAAGTAGCAGTTTTAGATTTTCAATGACATAACATTTACACTACTCATATAAAGTACTGTTACGTTTTCTGTTCTTGTATATCCACTGGTCCACAATAAAGGTAAATATAGACCCACCCTGTTTGTGACAATCTGGTATAATGTTAATGTCATAATGAGTTCTTACGACGAACCAAAAGCCTAGAATTATGAATAAGTCGAGACTGTTAGGTATAAAATGAAGGTCGATATCTAAGTATTATTGGCTAAATCTAAAGATCTCACAAATAATTATGTATTTCTGGGTACAGACAATATTTCTGTCTACGCCATATCCTTTCACTACGTGCCCCCACAGACGATGTACGATCTGGAGTTTTACATCTACCACTTACGACTGTATGGCATTGTGTACGGCACCCAGGAGCTCAATAGAAAAGAGAAGATTAAAAAAACCATATCAAATATTTGCTTTTAATCGTGTTTCCAAATGAATTAAACGGTGTACTAGGGAAGGATCGGACCGACCGAAGGTGTACTTTAGATATAATTTTAATATTTGGTATTTACTGTTGAAAGCAACTGGGATGCGACTGGTTGCACGTAATGCACGTGCTTTGCCTGCTCTACTCGTGTCGTGCACATGCGCTACCCGCAATACCCGTCATGTGAGGATCACTTGGTTCATACTGACAAACAATCTCATTCTTTACAGCGATCCTTCGTAGCCTAGTGGGTAAAACCGCCAAGATAGTAAAGGAATGGGTGCAAGCTCGAAACTAGGCATCGGCACAATATATTGGATGTTTTCAATAATGCGATATTTTACGATCGTATTCAGTAATAGTAAGATAAAGTTATATCAATCTTCAAAACAAGTAAAATAATTCAAAGTTAAAGGGCTATTCGTCAGAAAATCCCCGGGCTGCGAACAATTGACAGACATACAAACAGACAGTTTTATTCAATATATACAATCATTTGTCATTGAATAGTTTAAGCGCACATAAAAGATGCAATCAACGAATGTAGGATTTCCTGATTATGCTGACACATTTCAAGAAGTTACAGAATGATACAATCATATTATATTTCAATATTAACAAAATTTTATTGGTTGTCAAAACATTCGACAAAAGGGGAAATAAACTTATTTCTTGGTTCATTATTCAACTTA